GGAAACAAGCTGCCATAACGACACAAGTAAACCTGAATCCATACACAACCTAATAAATGTCATCAATGCCAGTTAAACTTTTATTAAATTGTAATCTTTTTAAAATCAGCCTTCACCTTTTTTTGACTACATCTGATTCTTAAGCATTGTTCTTGTCTGTCATGCATTTATTTCTATTTTTCATGTTTTTTTTTATAATTCCATTGTTCTTCATTATGTCTAAATGTATAATAAATAAATTCTATAAGCACTAGTACCTAATGAATAAGTACTAGTACTTAATGGAAAAGATACTAGTATCTAAAAAATAGATACTAGTACCATGAAAATAGATACTAGTACGGCTTACAGATTAAATGTTAAAACGGCTTGCCATACACAACAGCAGATTCGACTAGGAGCAGGTACAATACAGATATCTTCAAATATAATTGTGACTAGTCGAAACTGAATTAGAGATATCGCTAATTACCTTTGTGTATGTGTGATGCCCTATTGAAGATATCTATGACGTCATTACAGATATCTTCAATGGAGTTTTGACTAGTCATAAAGTATTCAGAGATATCTCCAATCCGATTTCTTACTAGTGCAATTATAATTGCAGATATCTCTAATTGTCATTGTGACTAGTCGGATTATAATTATGACTCGTCAAAATACAATTGTTCCTATCTTAAATTATATTTATGGATAGTCAAAACAAACTTTTAAATGCTAAAACGGCTTGCCATATGTGTGGTCTCGTGGTCTGGTCGAATCGTCTAGTGCAGGGGTAGGTAAGGTCGGTCGCTCTAATCCTAATCAAACACACCTGAACAAGCTAATCAAGGTCTTCAGAATTACTAGGGCTACAGGCAGGTGAGTTTTTTTTTCAGGTTTGGAGCTAAACGCTGCAGGACATCGGCACTCGAGGACAGACGTGGCCTACACCTGGTCTAGTGTGTGTGTTCAGAGGACTATAAAGCAAAAAATCGTGAACTGTCTTCTTGTCTGTGATCTCCCATGGTTTTAAAATCGTCTAGTTTGCAGCCAGCTTTAGTTGGATGTTAAACCTATGTACCTATTATTATTTTTATTATTATTATGGTTATTATTAATATTGTTGCTAAGAACATTTGTTGAATTTTTTCTTCTTTTTTTAAAGTTATACTACTTATATCTGTTATTAATCTGTTAAAATACTATTTCATTTGTATACTTCCTCCCCCACCCCTAGACACAATGACACACACACACACACACATGCTCACAGACACATGAATGCAAATACAGGAGCTAATCAGAATGGACTTGTAATGTTGGCTATCTGTATAAATGTTTGTTTGTCCAAGTGATTCTATATTTGGCACATGTAAATATTGTCACTTTCTTTACTTAGCCTATGTTTCTTACTTTTAAATGTTATATGTTTGGTCCATGGGATTCTGTATTTGGCACATGTAAACATTGTCACATTCTTTACTTGCATAAATAAATAAAAAAACGTGTACCTTAAGATACTAATGTGTGTAATCTAGATACTATTTTGTGAAATCTCGAGATCCATTTTTTCTGCAGAGATTAGCTTCAACCTGGATTAAACACACCTACCTTGTTCAGGTGTGTTTGATTCGGGTTGGAGCTAAACTCTGCAGGAAAGTGGATCTTGAGGGCCAGAGTTGAGGACCCCTGCTCTAAAATCTGGTTTTAATCGCAGGAGCTTGCAGCACTGCTCACCTTTTTTCTTAAAGAGAATTTATGACTAGATATTCTGTTACTATAACTAACACATTCAACTAATCTGGATATAATTGCATTTAATTGATTGTTGTTTAATTATTAGTTTGTATACTGTGTTATTTGAAAGGTAGCCTATTGTGTGTGTTGTGTTGATATTTGCCTAATTTGAACAATATCTAGTCACAAAATCCGTTTGAGGAAAAAAAAATAGTGAGCACTCCGCAGCAGTGCTACAAGCTCATTTTTAAATTCCACTAATGTGATTCCTATTTATTTATTTATTAACTAACGTACTTTGCTAATTTGCCAGTTGGTGGCGATTACGTATACATTTGAATACGATTCGTATAAAAATGCAGATTTGTAGAACAAAGGCAAGAGACTCCACTCTTAACCTAACCATCGGTGGATCGAGAGCAGATCCAGGAAAAGGTATGAATCAGGTTTTACAAATTCATACAAATACGTGACTAATTGCCGTGAGACTGCTTTGTTTCTCCTCATCCTTTCATCACACTTTCGACACATTCACCTTGCCTCACGATCCGTTCTGCTCTTTCCATTCGTCCGAGCATTCCTAAACGCACACCCATTCCTTTACGAAAATTACTACAAATAAAACAAAAAAACATGGTTACTACTATAGTTAAACCATAGTAAACACATAACCATGATTTTGCTACACGTCCCATAGTTTAACCATGGTATTTGCAGTAAAACTGGTTATACAAATGGTAATCAATACCCCAAAAATTAATTTTCGTCAGGGTTGCTGTTTTACATGAAACGTCAGTTAACTGTGGTACATGTCAATTATAAAACAATTCGCGAACATCAATATATGTAATGAATGTGAGTAGAATTACTCAAAGGTAGCCCACTTTCGAGTGTGAAGATAGGAGGAATGGTTGATGTGAGGCGGGGCAGGAGGAGTGAAAACATCGCCTGTGTTCTCACTGAGGTAGTCTTCCTTCACTGTGATTGTAGATGTGTTCGGAACACCGGATTATCCAAACAGAACGCTGCACGCGCGTCTCTATCCGCTGCGCGCTACCAACGCGTCACATCTCACCAAAGTGCATGAAAGAACCAGAGCAAAGGGTGAAGAAAACACCAACAATTACCCGTTCCTGAATCTTCCAGCTTGACAGGTGAGATCTGTTTAGGTTAGTTTGCACGTGTGTGTTTTCACATCAATGGATCCATAGTAACAGATATAAATATGTCAGATTCATACTTGCATTAAGCTTTACTAATGTGATCAATGTAATGTGTTTGAAATTGCTCGTGGGATCTTTCTTTCTTTCTTGATCTCTTGCTCTCTTTCTTTCTGCATGACTGTATGAACTGGTTGAAGCACACAATGATAAAAACTTTTAAATCAGCAACTGAGTTTTTCTTTGAGCTGTAAGAGTGTTAAGCTCACATACATTCACCTGTTATCAAACGAGCAGTTTACTCAAGAGAATGAAGAGATATCAGTCTTTCAACTATTTGCATAATAGTACAACAAAATAGTAATAATAAAAAGAAAAAAATAGAAATTGTATACATTTTCAGTGGGATCTGGGATCCTTAGGTATGAGTATTTATTATGTATTTATTTATTCAATTTCTGGCTAGGACTGCTTGACTAATGTGTGATTTTAAGAGATGTGTGAGGGAGCCTTCATGCAGATAATCCATTATGTTCATTCTGTTGGAGTTCAAAAGACTCCTGAGTGGCAAAATTACAAGTCCCCCTTTCATTGTGTTAAGGGAACTGTGTGTGTGTGTGTGTGTGTGTGTGTGTGTCCGTCCGCCCGCGGGCATAGATGCATAATGTGTGCACAAATGTGTTTGTGCAGTAATAGCACCATTGAATCTATTCTTATTCAAACCTTTACACTACACAAACAGGTTAAAACAATTGGGAATTGACCTTTATCGAATCTTAAAAAGAGGGGAGCTTATTTTTGCAGGTTGTTTCATACTTTAATTTGGAAATACAGTGGTGGATTATGAAGTATTCTGTGTCAGATGGAGACCCTTCTGTGATATCCTCCCCCACTCATGTCATATCAGAGCCTTGAGTCAAAGGTTAGCTGTGAAGGCTGGTGTGATGGGGGTGAAATTAAGGATGGGGGTCGGCGTGCTAAGTCAAAATCAATGTAAAGTACATCCCCAGGGAAATAGAGCATGCTGTAAATTCCTCTTCAAAGAAGTGAAACCGGATATGAAAAAAAATAATAATTCAGGTATGTCTGTTTTCAACATGGGAGTTCATTGTATTGAATAGGCTAAATATGCTATTACATATAAGAGAATCAGAAAGAGCTTTATTGCCAAGTGTGCTTACACACACAAGGAATTTGTCTTGGTGACAGAAGCTTCCAGTGCACAGACAGGTTGACAATATACAATAGACAAAGAGACAGTAGATAGTATATTGTATGTTCAGATGTGCTATATAAAAATTATGCAAGGGAATGTGGATAGATTTAAGATATATTAAATCCCTAACATACGTATAATAAATATAAGTATGGATAGTTGGGTATTGCACATGCTTTATTGCACAGTGCGGAGAACATTTCATGAGGTAGATGGCCTGAGGGAAGAGGAGAAATGAATGAAGGTGAAGACTAATTGGGGTAGGCTTGTGAGGCTACTCACATGCATTCTGAACACATTTCCATTACTGAACATTTGTCAGCTCACAGAAGACTACTGAAGTGGAAGAAATGTGAGTGTGTGTATGTGAGCATGCATGTGTGTGTGTGTGTGTGTGTGTGTGTGTGTGTATGTGAGCATGTGTGTGTTTTTAGGCTTGAGTAATCCTCCTGGGAACACGTCTGTGCTGCCAAAGTGCCATCCAACTCCTTTCTCTCTGCGCTCTTCATCACTCCTTTTTTTCCTCTCTCCTCCCCATCTCCATCTCTCCATAGCCTATGTAGACTTCAAATAAATTTGGTCATGACAATAAGAAAAGATGGTGTCTTGCTCTTTTAGCTGTCAGATCTCTTGTCTTCTGAAGTGCTAAAATCACAGGATTTCCCCTCACAAGACAATAGCCTCAGAGCTGGATTCTGAGACACGAGATATCTATCTGTGTGGCGTTCCACAGTAGCTGTGAAGGCTGGTGTGATGGGGGTGAAATTAAGGATGGGGGTCGGCGTGCTAAGTCAAAATCAATGTAAAGTACATCCCCAGGGAAATAGAGCATGCTGTAAATTCCTCTTCAAAGAAGTGAAACCGGATATGAAAAAAAATAATAATTCAGGTATGTCTGTTTTCAACATGGGAGTTCATTGTATTGAATAGGCTAAATATGCTATTACATATAAGAGAATCAGAAAGAGCTTTATTGCCAAGTGTGCTTACACACACAAGGAATTTGTCTTGGTGACAGAAGCTTCCAGTGCACAGACAGGTTGACAATATACAATAGACAAAGAGACAGTAGATAGTATATTGTATGTTCAGATGTGCTATATAAAAATTATGCAAGGGAATGTGGATAGATTTAAGATATATTAAATCCCTAACATACGTATAATAAATATAAGTATGGATAGTTGGGTATTGCACATGCTTTATTGCACAGTGCGGAGAACATTTCATGAGGTAGATGGCCTGAGGGAAGAGGAGAAATGAATGAAGGTGAAGACTAATTGGGGTAGGCTTGTGAGGCTACTCACATGCATTCTGAACACATTTCCATTACTGAACATTTGTCAGCTCACAGAAGACTACTGAAGTGGAAGAAATGTGTGTGTGTGTATGTGAGCATGCATGTGTGTGTGTGTGTGTGTGTGTGTGTATGTGAGCATGTGTGTGTTTTTAGGCTTGAGTAATCCTCCTGGGAACACGTCTGTGCTGCCAAAGTGCCATCCAACTCCTTTCTCTCTGCGCTCTTCATCACTCCTTTTTTTCCTCTCTCCTCCCCATCTCCATCTCTCCATAGCCTATGTAGACTTCAAATAAATTTGGTCATGACAATAAGAAAAGATGGTGTCTTGCTCTTTTAGCTGTCAGATCTCTTGTCTTCTGAAGTGCTAAAATCACAGGATTTCCCCTCACAAGACAATAGCCTCAGAGCTGGATTCTGAGACACGAGATATCTATCTGTGTGGCGTTCCACAGTGTTTAACTAAATCACTGCATGCTTTTATCAGAAATGAAATGATTCGTTTATATGCAATCTTGTTTTTATTATAAAAGCTCATGATCAAATATCCATCCACACATTCTGCAAACATATTATCTTATGTAGGGTTGCAGGATGATCAAATATGGACTAGGTAAATCAGACCTGTTCAGTCTAGGATCATGCGTACAGCCATTACTGTGGCATAAACTCTATTTTAAGTGGGATAAATACAGCGGTTCTCATACATCATTTTATAATTGTGATTGTTGTGAGTGACACAACACTTGTTGGCAGTCCTATCCAGTCCCATCCTGCCGGTGCCCCTCCCCAACCCCAGAAGCATGAACCCTCTCCTCGCCTCAAAGCCACCATTTCCACTTGAGTCTCTAATAGGGCTTTAAGGTAGCTTTGTGAGTATCTTTGTGTGCACTGTCGGAGATCGCGGGGCATTAATTTCACTCTCGAGTATGTAAATAAGTGAATGTGTGGGAGCGCAGAGCCGTTACTCACTTCATCCGAGAGAGCTTTATCACCCTCGCCTTCTCTTCACGGACACGCATGAGAATCTCAGCAGCACACACAATGCCAGCTCTCATAATGTCACCCTATGCCCATCTCCATCGGCTTCCGGAGGGCCTCCATCTCTGTCTGTTTCTCCCCCTTCCCATGGCCACTGGGGGAACACAGGGGCGCGTTGTGTTTACCTCCGGCTGTGGCCAACGGAACACAAAACAATCCCGTTCATTGCCTGTTTGTCAGCCCTGAGCCTTTTGAAAGCCAACGAAAAAGAGAGATGAGAAAACAATTAAAAGCCCCTCCTGAACGCTGCACTAACATTTTCCCAGCTCAGGGAGCCTGTGAACAGGGATGGAGTCTCTAAACTGCTCCATTATTTCTCAGTACTTGGCATGATGCTAGAGCTGCTTGTGTTTGAATGGATGACTCCACACAGAGGCCTTTTGTGGGGAAACTTGGCTCACCACGCAAGCACTGCTTAATTAAGATCTATCTATCTATCTATCTGATCATTATAAAGGTAATGGTGTTTAGCAAAATAGCGTTAAATCCAACGTGATCTCATGATAATTCGTATGTATTTTACGTAAAATGTGGTTCTATAAAACGTACATTTACTTACGTTTTTAAAAATCTAAATTGCGTATTAATAAAATGATAAAAATGCATATTCGCTATAAATTGGGTAGGTTTAGGTTTGGGGGCAGGTTAAGGGGTCTAAAAAATCTAAATTGCGTATTTATAAAATGATAAAAATGCATATTCGCTATAAAATGGGTAGGTTTAGGTTTGGGGGCAGGTTAAGGGGTCTAAAAATCGAAATCGCTTATTAATAAAATGATAAAAATGCATTGATATGAATATCTAAATGATATAAAAGATACGTAAATATTTTTACGTTTTTTAGCTAAAAATACGTAGCGATTTGTACGTTTTAAACGTTGAAATACGTCTAAATTGTACGTTTTAGCATGACGAAAAACGTACAAAAGTGTACGTTTTGTGCTTGTAAATGTTACGTATTTATACCTACGTATAAACATGAGACCAGGCTGTTAAATCATATATACCTACCTAATATACTTACACTTGAAAGGTTGTTTTGACTTGCATTATTTTAACATGCTCAAAAAATATTTAAGTCTGTTTTTTAGACTTACAAAATGTAGTATTTTACAAATATGTAGTAAATTGAATTGAACAATCCCTAATTTGTTTCATATTATGAATTACACACATTAATCTTTTATATAGGTGAAATGTAATTTTGGATCATAATGGATTAAAAAAAAATAAAACAAGCTTTTTTTAGTGAGATAACAGTTTATTTATTTATTTATTTTTTAACATTTGAGTATCAATGTTATTATAATATCACAAAATGGTTCACCCAGATGAAAACACAAAGTAGAAAATGGGAGGCATGAACGTTTTAGATGAGTGTAAACTTTACCATGACATTTAGGGCCAGATTTACTAACAGCTTGCACCAGCACAAACCCT